TTTGTATTTGCAAAGGCAATGAATTTTTTTCTCTGTGTTTTTTTTATATTTTGTAACATACTTACAAAGTAGACACAATTTTTATGAAAATAAGTAATAAAAAAAAAAACAATAATATTGTATGAGCTTATAAAATATTCACATATAATCATATAAAATACATACAAACAAATTCTATACTTAAAGAATTCCAAATAAAATTTTAACATCTAAAAATACTGAAGCCTGTAAAGGTAAGAATATGTAGAGTGACAACTATTAACAAATATTAGAAATTTTTTAAAATTTCTAGGGCATTGGAAGAAAATTACCTTAAACTAATGAATGTGATCCCGAATTCCAATTGTAACAATTGCAAAAATTATTTCGGCTACTCTTGCAGAACAACTCCATTACTACAAGCAATTAATCACTCATTTATGTAAGAAATTGATTTGAAAGAATGAAATTTTATGAACAAATTAATTTGACGAACAGATGAATTTAAAAAAAAAAAACATTTCTTTTACAATTTTTCCGAAAAATTCGTAAAAAATTAATTGCTTTCTTCCGATTTCAAACGATGAATGGTATACTTTTTAATTATAAACCAAATATTAGAAGTTAAGCTTCAATATTAGAAATTTTTAAAAATTACAGGAACAACAAGAAAAATTCAATTTAAATTTAATACGAATTCAATTAAAATTTTTTCGATGTTGATCTAAATTTTTCAGCACACTCTGTATTTAAGTGTGCTTATTTTATCGAAAATGGCAAGTGGAGGTATTTGACATTTCCACACTTTTTCTTTTTATTTTATTTTTTAATTTTTTCATTGTTTGAAGACGGTTACTTTCATTTAAAGAGTTAAATGTAAAAGTATTATAAAAATGAAAGAAAAAGATGGAAAAAAAAAATTAAGAAGATTAAATAAATATTTTTTTTTTTTTCAAAAAAAAAACCAAATAATATGAAAATTCACTTTTCATTTTCTCCCCACCTTTCATACTCTCTCATCTTTTCATTCTCTTATACCTTACGGTTGAGAGAATTGAATCGTAAAAGGCACGTTTATTTGTAAAAATTTTCGTTCAACAAAAAAAATTCTTATTTAATAATCGGCTCATTTCCAGTATTATAATTAATTCTAAAATAAAGTTCTAAAACGAAGGGCTTATAATGAAAATATTAAATAATTTAAAAATAATATTTAATAATTTTCTATATGTATATGCCACAGAGATATGATATTATTAAGTGCATAATTCTCGATGTTTCGTGAGTTTCATAAGTAGAAAGAGTGAAAGAGGGTAAAAAAGAGAGTGTGTGTTTGTTGAATTGGACAAAACCTAAGCTGTATTGTAAGTACCGAAATATTAATTGAGCGTTTTCGTTCGGAGTATGATTTTATGTTTCGAACGTATATTCGAATATAAAATTTTCGACAATTGTAGTTTTCATCGATGCGGAATTCTTTCGGAATAGTAGAGGAGTTTTTTCAATTATTTACTCTTAATTTCTATTCAATATCTTACATTATTAAAAATGGATTCAAGTCTCAAATTTAGCAAATGAATTTGAAAAATTCACAAAACTAATAAAATTTATAAAGCATATGCAATTCGATACATAAAATAATCGATATTATTTTTTTTTTTTACTCTCACAATTTTTCATAGTTCGATGATTTCTTTATTCTTCAATTTAATATTCACGTACCAACAATGTGAAAATCCAATTTTAAGTATAATTTTTTTTTAATATTATCAAAAATAAATTTTGTATTCATGGAAACCAATTCAAAGTTCAAATGATGTTACGAGTAAAGACCAAAAATATAAGAAAGTATATCGATTTTTACAAAGAGAATAAGAAAAAAAAGTGCTCCAAGTTGACGCCCGTCCCTTTAGTTTTGGTAATACTTTTATTTTGTTATTCAATTATGCGAAAGCAAATACTTATGTACATATAAAAGAAGAAAATTTTCTTAAAAAAAAATAAAAGTTTATAATAAAAAATTAATAAAAATAAGAAAGAAACAAAAAAAAACCACAACATCAAATAAGAAAATTTTCTTTGAATTTCTTTTAATATTTACGATTTAAGTAAATTATAAGAAAAATAAGAAAAAAATAAATAAGGATAATAACTCTTTCAAAAAAAAAAATTGTATTTGAATGTCCTTAATAAAGTTTAGTTTTTAGATTTAAATAAAATTTATGTGCAAAATAATAAGAAAAAGAATAAGAAAAAAAAAAATTTATTTACATAAAATTTTTATTTGTTTTCTTATTTATTGTAAAAAATTCTTAAGGAATTTCTTTAAAATAAAAAAAAATCAATATTTTAAGAAAATTTGAAATTATTTGTAGTACTCGTAAGTATACAAAAATTAAATTAATAATTAAAATATTTTAAAAAAGAAAATATTAAAAAAAAAAATATTGAAAAAATTTTATTAAAATTTTCGAACATTTTGTATTTGTTCGTTCGTATTTAGAACACACACCCTCTTTGCAGTGTTGAGAAATTTTACATCTGAAAACAATTAAAAAATTGAGTACATTTTTTTTTTAATTAATTGATTAAAGAAATTAATTGCAGCTACTAAAACCAAATGATTGGATTTCAAAAATGAAGATGGAGCTAGTCATTAATAGAAAATTTTTAGCACACTTAATCAATAGTTTTCTATTTGTAAATCTGCATCTAACACTTTACCGACCGGTAGCCTATTTATCGGCTTTTTGATTCCTTACGCTCATCGACCGGTAGCCTATTTATCGGCTTTTCGATTCCTTACGCTCATCGACGGGTAGCCTATTTATCGGCTTTTCGATTGCCAGCGCTTATTGACCGGTAGCCTATTAATCGGCTTTTGGTTATCGACGGTTTTTGTCAGTTAGTTGCTCTTTTTATAACTTCTGTTATAATTTCTTGAGATTGTTACGAGAGATACCACACTATAAATAGATATTAAAAAATTTAAATACTGTTACCTTGAATTTAGTTCATGAATGAAAATACAAAATAAAGTATAAATATCAATAAAATTACATTACTTTAAAACAACAAAGGAATAAGCACAACACAATGCATAGTGAAAATTTAGCCGGTACTGGGAATAAATTCGGGTGCGACTTAGCCGGTACTTACTGTGTGGCAGCCTAAACCACAACCGGTCGATAAAGTGTTAATAAATTATATGGCCATACTAACGTACCTACAAGTAAAACAGAAATTATAGTGATTTGAAACTCCGTTTAGTTTATCTCTCTTTTCTAAATAAATTCATCACGGTATTATAAAAGACTCATTATAAAAGATAAATTTTGTTGTATTCTGAATTCAATAATTAATTTTAAGCTAGAGTGCAATTTGCAATCTAAAATTTGCAATCTAACAATTATTCTAATGTTTAAATAACGCTCATTAAAAAATTTATTTATTTTTTATTTAAAATGATGGCAGCATGTATGGTTCTTTATTAAAAGAAAAATACCAAAAACTCATGTATTTTTTTGGAAAAATATTTTGTTTTTTTTCTAACTTATTTTTTTGAAAAACTTTTATAAATTTTTAATTGAATTGGAAATTTTTAAGCGCATGTTTTTAGTTTTTTTTTGTTTATTTTCATGTTTACCAAAAAAGTACTCACAATTCGACATAATTAATATTTAAAAAATTATGTACATACACACATATACATATGTACATATTTACCCACATTTAGTTTAAAAATTTATAATTATAATTATCGAAACCAAAAACGGAAATGTTGGAAAGAAAAGAAATATTATGGCCTTTCCTTGTTTTGGTTTGGTTTTTTCTTGCAAATCTCTATTGTTTGTGGCCTAACTAAAATCAATTAGTAAAATTTAGAAAATTTACAAATAAAAATTATTTTGCAAAATTTTGAATTATAGATGCAAAAACCTTTAAATTTTCCTATTTATTATAATATTGCATTTAAGGAAATTTTTTTTATGTCGTTATTCACTTGAGTATAATTAATTGCTTTAGTCCAGCATGTGACGTATTCACAATTAATACAAAATTAACCATTAATATTCTGGAAATTTCTGTTCAAATTTAGATTCTCTCACCTAAAATGTTAAAGTTTCAAAGAAATAATAATGTATTAAAAAATTTATTTATTTACTTCAGCTGGTTTCCGATGTAGTATAAAGCTATTAGGTCTATTAGTGCAGGAGCTATTTAGCTCTAAAAAATAGCGAATGGATTTTAATAAACTCACTAACACTCTAATTTAAAAGTGTCATTTAAATGTACTATTAAAAGCAATATAATACTTTTGAAGTATAAGGCTGGTCACTTGTTATACAAATCTTTCTTTAAATTCATTTTGAAAAACCTAATCAATGTTTTGTGTTTGATTGCCTATCATTAGAGATCCGATTTTATTTAACAAACTTTATTTGATTATTTCAATTACAAGGTGATACGTTATGTAATTAAATATATTAATTGAATACTATATCGTTTAGAACACAGGGAACATAATCCATTCAGAATTGAAGGAATTCAAAGGTAAATTGACTATAAACAAGCATATTATATTAGCGTAAACACTAGTCTTTTCTTTTCTGTATAAATTAGACATTCTTTTGGTACGCACACTCTCTTGAAATTGGCATCAAATACCATATTTGTTAATAAATGGGATTCTTTTACATATGCGACGCTTATTGTAGGAGAAGAAATGGTAACTTTTACCCAATTTGACAATAATTTTTGGGATATTACATTTATACTAAAATTGTTATACATATTAATTTGTATTTGATACTGCACAACTCAATGTCAAATGTCAAAAAATTCCATTAAAAATTAAAATTTGATCAAATTCACTTTTGAAATAGAATTGTGCAACTAATAAAATTTTCATGAAGCTTTATGATTTACTTTATTCCAATAAAATTAAATTTTAAATTTTCAGAATTAAAATTAAAAATTTTATAATAATTTTCTCTTGGTTTCAATTTTCTAATATTTTATTAAATTTATTTTTTTTGTTTATTTAAATCTGCTTCATTATTTTTTCTTTATTTTTTATTAAATTGAGAATATTTGAAAAAAAAAACTTCTCTTTATTCTTCATCAAATTCCTCTATTTTCATATTTCTTTCTTTCATTTCATCCAATAAACACATTCCATATAAATGGGCTTTTTCACATAATTCAGTTTCATGAACTCTTGAATTACATGCTGTTACAATTTCACCACCTGTTTTTTCACCATCATCATATACCATTGCAAATAAATCAGTTGATACATTTAAATCCAATTGATTTTCAGAATTTAAAATACTTGATGATTTTAATAAACATAGGCGTAAACATTTTGCTGATTTTGATGGATTTCTTTCATGTGTTAATAATGCTTCAAAATCTTCATCAGTTGGTTTTGGATCACAATCTTTACTCATATCTTGTAAAAATGATTTTACTTGTTTTTTTGAAACAGCATTAATTTTTAATAACATTAATGTTAAAATTAAATACACGGTAACTGTTAATATTTTCGTAAATTTTGACATTTTCCTCTGTTAATTGTAATTATTTTGTAGAAAAAAAAAAGTAAAATTAAGTAAATTAAGAAGTTTTTACAAAAAAACTGAATTGATTTTGATTAAATTTAGTGAATTTATATAGGCTACAGATTTTTAGAATTTTAATTTTTCTTTGTTTTTTTTCTATTTTTTTTTAACAATTTATTGTTAAAGTATACAAGATTACAAAAAATATTTGAAAATATTTTTTTTTTATCATAAAATCTGTTGTTTACATTTGCCATTAACAAGTTGTAAAATATTCAATTTTATTATTGATCGTTTTAGCATATTTCTAAAATAATTTTTGAAAAAAAAAAATGTGCCTATTAGTTTCGTTCTGTTTGTTCGTCCAATTGTTTGTACATTCGTTCACAATAGTCTAATATAAAATTTGGAATTTTATAAGCAATTAAGATTTTAATTCAAAAATTATTTTTATTGAACAAAAAGTTTTGTTAAAAGTACCCCTTTTCTAACTATAGCATATTGAAGTTTTAAAAATGTCAGTTTTTGACAGTTTATTTTTATGAAAAGATAAGAAATTTTTCGAAAATTTTAACAAAATTGTAATTTTTAATAGAAATCATACATTTCTTAACTTGAATAATTTAATTAAGGTAGCAAAATTTCTCTTCTAATAACCTCTCCTAAATCTATGCAAGAAAACTTTTTGTTATCATAAAATGAATAATAATTTTAATAGAACTTAGCCGACACAGAGAGAAAACTATCCCAAATCTAAATTTTTACCGCCTTTTTCTTTTTAAGACTATACGAAAGCAATACGAATTTCTATTCGAAATTCCGAAAGAATTTTCTAAAAGCAAATTTCTCCTATGGAAAAATTCCATTATTTATATAAGAATTCCTAGTAAAACAGCTCAATACGCCAATCTTATTGATTTTATGTGGTTCTTTTTCTATCTGTGTGTTTGCTTTCATCACCGTTCTTAAAATGAATTCAAAGAGCATAAGCAGAATGAGCGTCTTCAAGTTACAAAAATGAAATGTGCTACTTTGCAAACCTTTGTTTTGATCAATATTTTATTTTATAACTTTTTATTCATATCTTTTTTTTTTTAATACTTATTATATTAAAAATTAGTTTTGTTATATAGTACAAGTATTTTTCGTTGTCCATGTAACACGCAAAATTGATGCTAGAAGACGGAAATACTATTAAGTAAATTTCCGGTTTTTATATGCCTTGTTAACGAAAACGAAATTTTATACACAAATATACGATAGATATACAAGTATGCATATAGGAATTCTATCATATATTTGGGTGGTTACGTATATATGTAAAATATTTTTTATATTATACATTTGATTTGTGTGCACTTTATAATGAAAAATACAAAATTCTAGTAGCAGACAATCAATAATGATTTAAATTTTTTTATATTTCTAAAAAAAAAAAATGAAGCAAAACTAAAAAGTGTCTTTAATATTTGGTATTTTTAGGAGCACAATTTAGTATAGTAACTCTTGCAATTAATATTTATTGTGATATTAAAACATTAAAAAATCTTGAATCAATTTATTCATTAAAATTAATCTTTTGCCTTTGTGTCTTTCAGTTTCAAATCATCGGATTAATTTAAGTGTAAATGGAACTCATTAATTGTTTAAATCGGATTTAATTGAAATATTCTACAGCTTAAGGAACAACATAACATATTGAACGTGTCAAATGTGTTGGAACGTTATGTTATTTAATTGAAACCCGAAAATTATTAAATTAAGTACAAATACAATTTCATAAATTATAAACAAGGAAGCCCGAGAAAAATTAAATATTCACTTAATTCAATTTAAAATGGTTAAGTTCCCATTAAAAGGAAATTGTATAGGGAACTGGGTAACTATAGTAATAATACCATATGGTACCAATTTCAACGATTGAAATATTAATGCAATTTCATGTAAAGACACCGTTTATTTAAGATCAGCTCGTATTGAAACTGAATATTAGCTTGTTCAGAAGCTTGAACTTGAGTATGTTCCGTGCAGGTATAAAGGTATTACAAAATACATTCGCATAATGTACGTAAATGAGTGAAACTACTTATATATATGTATTTTAAACTGAAGAAAAATTTTATTTTAGGCTGAGAGCAACTATAAAGTGACTGGAACTGGACTTTTAGCGGGACGAGGTAAAAAAAAAAACTAAAAACGCCGGCTCATGTTTTTACAAGGTGCCTCATCTATTTATAAATCAGCTAAACAGCCAAGCAAGCAGCCAAGCAAAAATAGCCACAAGAATGAAGCTTGATCGAAACTCTTTGGACCTGATTTTTTCAAGATTTTACTAACAAAATCAAAAACTTCTCATGGTTAGCATAATTGTACCAAAATAATTTAGCTTTTGTGGCCTGGAAAAACAGAAATTTGTATATCACTTGACTTTCTTAGTCATTCGTTGTGTGACCATTAAAATAAGTCTCCCTAATAACTCTATAAAACTGCATTTATCTGTTGTACACCTTGACCATCTTCCTATAACTGAAAATGCAATTCATATTATAGAAATTACACCCTTATGTAAGATGTACGTTTGAGGTACCTCTTATATAAGATGTTGTTGTAAGATGTACCTTTCTAACTACATCCATAACTTATCATAGAATTGGTTAACCATAAATTAATGTTCGTTCTAACACAACCTTCATAATTTCAGAAACTATTAAGAGATGAACTAACCTTCATAATTAATAAGTTGATTATTTAAATTACAAATTTTTTTAAAGCTCACAAAATAGGAAAATGTTTTTTGAATTAAATGAACTCAGCGAATGAATTTACATTTTGTGACAAAATACTATGAAACAATAAGAAATCCTTAATATTTAACAGTCCCCATATTATTTCCAAATTCTCTTATTGCTATTCTTATATTTGTATCTGTATTTTTCAAACTAAATTGCTTTTTTTCACATCACATAACAATTTTCAAATTAACAATCCATGAAAAATAAAAAAAAATTAAAATATTTATAATAAAAGAGTGCATAACAAAATTGTGCACCGATTTTCGTTGCGATTACACCCTTTTCCTGAATGACAAACTTAAATAAATGTAGATAGTATCAGTGCAGACAGAAAAATTCATAATATGCAAGTCGATTACCTACAACTCGAGTAGCGTTATTGATTTTCATAAAGGAAAAAAAAAAATAAAATTTCAAGTTTTTATTTCACTTATACTGCAATAAAATGGGTGATTGGGTGGGTGGATAAGGACAAATTTCAAATATAAATCACAAGCACTTAGAATAATTTTCTTTTTCTTTTTTTTAGTTTCTCTTGCCACATGACCTTGCTTATACTTAAAATTTTTGATATATTACACGATATTATACAAATATATGGACATGCGGGTGTGTATGTGTAAAAAACAAGAAAATGGTGTCACTATAAAGATTAAAAAACTTTTAATTTCTGCCAAAGCTACACAAACATAAATACGAAAGGGAAATGAATATAAACAAGAAGGGTTGTTTATGAATACAAGATACTTTGTAATTTAAAAAATCTTATTTTGCTTACACATCCTCTAACCCGATTCAAGATGATCAAAAGAAGTATAGAATGAAACATGTATGTATGTATGTTGTGAAGGGTTCTCATTTCCTTCCGATTTTCAAAATAAATGAAAGGAATTGAAAACTATTTAATTTTTGTTTTTGCTCGAACGTATGGTTGTTTGTGCTCGAATTTTTTCTTATTAAAATTGGAACCCACAAGTCTAGAAATAAATTCTATAAAGATATGAAAAATAAAAAAATTATACAGAAAGCTTCTAGCGTTTCCAATTTTTAATTAATGCAGTATATTTACTTTATACACTTTTTAAATAAAAATAAAATTATAAAGGCAGAAATGTTATGAATTTAAATGCCCTCATTATTTTAATTACATACATATTTACATGAACAATGCGGAGTTTTTAATTAGCAGAATGCTCACTTAAATTTACATTTTCCCATTATGACTTTCTAGGATGGACCAATTACTTCTTTTTGTTCTAATTTTTAGTATATGCATTACTAACCTTTAGTTTTACATGCATTTTCTTTGCTCTTTTAGCCCTATTAAATTAGAATTAAAATTTATAAATGACAATATTTGCCTTTATATAATCGTAAATGTATGCAAGTAATAATTATTTTTTAGTGTTATGCTATAATGCTATATATATGTATGTAAGTTAAAGACAGTGCTAGAAGATATCTAACACAGTGCAATAGCAAAAAGCAGAATCTGCTTTCAAAGTTACGATCAACTTCAACTGACTACACCGCTACACGTACACTACACGTCATCTTCAAATGAATTATCCGCTACACGTACAACGTAACAATTATATTCTAGAGTTGTATGTATGACAGTTAATTGACTTGCTAAGAAATATTGGAAAAACTTCTGGCAATATCTTAACTACTCGCATAACTGGGTACATAACTTACAAATTCCATGTACATAGGTAACTTTATTATTTTTTCAAATAATAAAATAATCTCTTTGAGTTTGCGTGGTAACTAACTATTCGAACATTTTGTTCGAAATGTTATACTTGAGCTCGTTGTTCTTGTTACAACGGCAACCGTTTTTGGCAGAAAGGAAACAAATTTCCGAAAGTTTGATGGTGTTCGATTTTTTACGATCGATCGAACGGTCGGAAAAACGAACATGCAATAATTATAACCCCCTAAACATAATAGTGCTTCTATTGCATAAAACTCCAATCGTATAACACTTTAAACGTATAATACTTCTCACGTATAAGGATTTAAATTTTATAAAGAAATTGTTCAGATAAAGAATCTAGTTCTGCATATGTATTCCGATAGGCGGTGTTTTCCTTTTAGATGTAAATTTAATGTCAAATTTTGATTTTTTGATTTATAGGTTATTTTTTATTTATGTATAACAGAATTTCAATTAAATATCAATTATAAATTTTAATTTGTTTAACAGTTTATCGAAATTAAAACGAATGTAATTTATG